TGGTCCGACAGGACGCTGATCCATAAGCTCCTTGGAGTAAAGAGCAGGTTGGCTCACTAAGGCAGCAGCCTGGATAAACTCACATTCTACAGGTATATCATTACCGGGAAGTGATACAAGAGACCCGCGTCGAGATCCCAGAATTCCCTCCTCGTGCAAATAAATCCTTTTAAACCCTCCTTCCTTCTTTCCATCCTAACCTTCTCGCTCAGACCATTTCCATGTCAACTGCCAACCACCTCCTATTCCTGTGCCACCAACCGATTCTACAGTCTTGCACAAGCGTGCTGTGACGTCTCATGCTTAGAGTACTGCCATGGGTAGCCGGGGGAACCATGTCCTTGTCCAAGCTCGTTGTTTGACGTGAGATTAACGGGCTATGCAAATTATCATCAGTCACCCCCTGCAGCATCCGATGCATAGTCGTCACCTTCCCTCTTCAAGCTCTCCTCATCCCAATGTTCATTTCTAACATGAGGCTCTGCTGTACTAAACATGCTTCCGAAATTCTGAGAAAGCATACTGCGTGTGCTCCCTGTCTCGGGAAGCATCTCGTGCACACTGCCAAATAATGTCACTAGGGGGTCAATAAGGGATACACTTTGGTTCACCATGCTTCCCTGACGAGAGGTGAGACTAAGAATGCTTTGTCCGGTGACAGGCTTGGCAACCCACGAAAGGCCCACTTGAGATCCATATAATCTAATTTTGTCTTTGTCGGCGCAAGGTTCGTGACCTTCATCAAGTTCATCGGCAGGACCTATTAGGTATTCTTCTATAGAAGTTTCACCTCCAATGCCGAGGCCCTCAACCAGCAGAGCCATCTCACCTGCAGATCAAAGAGGTCTCAGCAAGATTCACTCCTATCATAAAAATTGATCGGTTTTATAGCTTATGCTTGTTCATAATTTATGTAACGCCTCTCACAGGATCCCGTAAAACAAGCAACAAGTTATGCCATTAGCTCTTAGAAGTATATCTAACAATTCAATATTCAAGTCCCAACATTTTCAAGTCATGACAAAGAAAAGAGGAGGAAAAGAAGAACATGAAACGTCTTCCCTGCAACGCAATCTCTGAAGAACCTGTTTTGCCTCAAGCATCTTCCCTTTACTCACGAGTCACCGAGGAGATTCGGGCAAATAAAGAACCGTCAAGGCAAAATACTAGAGAGAAGGGATCGATAGAACTCCAAGCATCAAACTCCAACTCGGTGAGTCCATCAATGGCATCCCAAAAACCATACAATATGACAAAAACATTCTCCCGGAACCGGTGAATTGTCGTAATGTATTTAACAATCCCCTTATCTCCGATGGGCAGTCTTGGATGTATAAACTGGGACAAGAGTGACAGCTAAACCAATTCCAAACCCATCTAATAGCCTGGCTATGCACAAAATATAGACATTAGGTGACCACAACATGACCAAACCCTAACGAAGTGAAGCATGAGGAAATTATCAGCATCGGACGCCGACCAAGCCAATCCGATATAGCTCCAGAGCATGTAGTAATAGCTGTGGCTCCAATCAGTGACATAGCCACCACAAGGCCTTCAACGCTTGTTCCGAGATCGAGGTCATTCTTAATGTACACAATTGCTCCTGACAGCAAATATTAAGGATTCAGGCAAGGAAATGGATTTGAGCAGCAAATAGGGCAGATGATGGGTGTAAGAAACAAGGGAAACGATGCAAAACAAGTATCGATAACGTTTGTTCGAACCCTTGTTTCAATAAATCTCACCCAGCATTATCAGGAAGCATAGAAATACCATAATGTAATCCAAGAAACAGGAAGGTAGCATGTGAAAGAAGCAAGTACCAGCAATGGTAGCATTATCCCATCCCCGCAAAAGTTACCAATTGTAGCAGCAATGGCTACAGAGCAGCGGCCTTCATCTTTTCACCAATGAATATTTGTTAGCTGGCCATTGCTTTTATTTGTCTGATTGTTGTAGGTTTCAGGCCTAATTGTTTCAATGACAAGCTTTATTAATAGATAATGGTTAAAATTCTATGCCGAGTAAAGGCACATTAAGTGTTGCTCATTGTAGGACTGTTAGACATGGTACTAAATTGCGGTTACAAGTGTTGCGGATGTTACGACGTGATCTATTCTTAAAAAATACTGTTTCTATATTGAGGATGTAGTTGTGATGTCGCAGTGACCGTGAAACGTTATGATGCGGCCGTTACACTTCGTTGCGGCTGCAATTTAGTACCATAGTCTAGAGTTCTTCTCTGAGTGCCAAGTGAAACATGGTGCTAAATGAATGTACTTTTTTATGATCGCTGACTATTACATAATTATTTTTTGATGCAGGTATCTTTATAAGGTTTTCAAGCTATCTCTTTACAATAATGGGGTTTCGCCAATGTTTCTGCATATTGTTTCTAGGTATGTAGGGAGTTGAATGTATTTGTTTGGCTAGAAAGAAAATTTTCTGTTACCAATCTTTGGTTCTTCTCAGACTTTGTCAGAAGAATAAGATGTCATGTATTGAATACAAGAATGCCCCATTCGTTACACTGTTGAATAATTTGGAATGTGAGTTTGTTAGTTCTTGACAAGGATAGATGCATTGATTGGCTTTACTAGCCAGAAGAGAGGGGGGGGGGGGAATGAAGCTGTAACTGAAAGTAGGCATGTTTTAAACAACAAAAAAGTGAGAGCAGAAAATATAATTTGAAATGTGATGTTTGTATAGTTTTTTTATAAATAAAAATATTTCGTAAATTTTAAAATTAAAATAAATTTAAATAAAAAAAGTTAAATTTTAGGTCATTATATGTGGTATCATTTGATTTGAGGGTTAAGTTTATTTTAATTTGTTAAAATTAGGATCAAATTGATAGAATATATAAGTAACAGTGACCAAATGTGTATACCAAATATTTTGAAATTTTTAATTTTTTTATAATTATACGCTAAGTACTTAGAATTTAAATTTTTATAAATTAAATTAATATTGCTCGTCGTTAGCCGTATTCTTCGCTGCTCGTCGAGCGTAGAATAATCATTAGTGTATATATATATATATTCAATTTTGCAATCATGCTCTTAAAGTTTATTCTTTGATAATTTAAACCATGATATTTTTTTCTTTCAAATAAGCCCTCTTGAAGGATAACATCAAAGGCGAATGCATATAGCGTTAAAGGCTTAATTTTAGAAATGCTAAATATACAAAAGATGCCCAATGTATGCATGTGGTTCTAGGTTAGTGTCTATAGTTTATTTCATTTTAATTTGGTGTCTAACGTTTCATTTCGTAACTTAAATCGGATCAGGTCATGACGAACCGTTAAGTGACACGTGTCACAACATGGTAATTTTAAAATTTTTTATTTAAAAATATATATATTTTTATAAAGAAAACAAATTTTGAAATAAACGTAAAACTTTGAAAACTTTCATTTCAACCCCTAAACTTATGCATACCATCGCCTTTTACCGTCGACGAAGCTCCACCCGACTCCTCGGCAACCAAAACCTCTATGAAATCGTGATTGGTCAACGATCGATTGGCCGTCGGAATCACGTGGGATTACTATTTTCATCCTGAGGTTCGCTAGATATAAAATATTGATTATTCATCAATCAATTACGATTTCATAGGGGTTTTAGTCGCTGAGAGGAGGGGAGGTCGGGTTTCGCGGTGGCCAGTGTGGGTTTAGGGGTCGAATGAATGTTTTTAAAGTTTAAGGTTTATTTCAAAATTTGTTTTTATTTTCATCCTGAGGTTCGCTAGATATAAATATTGATTATTCATCAATCAATTACGATTTCATAGGGGTTTTAGTCGCTGAGAGGAGGGAGGTCGGGTTTCGCGGTGGCAGTGTGGGTTTAGGGGTCGAAATGAATGTTTTTAAAGTTTAAGGTTTATTTCAAAATTTGTTTTCTTTTAATATATATATATATATATATATAATTTTAATTTTTTAATTTTAAATAAAATTTTTAAGATTACCATATTGTGACACGTCACTTAACGGCCAAACTTAACGGTCTAACCCAATTTGAATTACAAAATAAAACGTTAGACACCAAACTGAAACAAAATAAATGTTAAGCATTAAACTGAAACCAAAATCATACTTTGGGCACCTTTTATATATTTAAACCTTTAAAACCTTTTTAGAAACTATCAAACCTTTAGGGGGTGTTTGGTTCAAGGAATGTGGGATTCCCATGGGATGGGAATCCCACATTCCCATGTTTGGTTGGCCGGGAATCTCATTCCCGGTAATGTTTTATTACCAATAGTAGATTTTTTGGGGTATATTACCGGGAATGTCATTACCTCCATTCCTTTAGGTATTATAACATTACCGGCGTTTTGGACTAAAATGCCCTTAAATTTTTATTTTTTTTCAAAAATATCCTTCTTCTGTCATTGAATAATAAAAATTATACGAATGTTAAATTACAAATTTATCCTTAAATTATTTTAGATTTACAAAAAAAGTCTATAATTAAAATTTTATATGAAGTTTAGGGGTTAAATTTTTTTTACCCTTTCATTAAACATTTTTTATATTTTTAATTTTGTAAAAAAAATTATATAATATTATGAATTTAATTTTTAAAGAAAATATATAAATATTTTACAATTTGTAATATATACAAATATATAATAAGGACAATTTGGTCAAATATACATTCCAATAATCTTTTATTCCTTTGACCAAACACGGTAATCTTACATTCCTGATAAACCAACCAAACACAAAATACAACATTCCCAGTAATCCTATTCCCTGGTAATCTTTTATTCCCACTGGTAATCTTACATTCCGTGAACCAAACGCACCCTTACGGTCTTTTTTTATTATCATTATGTAACCAGCTTTAATATTTCACATCATCTGCTCAAAGAGATTGACTGTTTCCCCCTACAATTCCATCGACCCTACTTCACGAACCCCAAACCTCGCCCCCTTGTTTATCGTGTTTAAACTCAATGTGGTCGAAAGTTCAGAGAAACGAGAAAGGTTGCAACGAAAGAGCAAAGTATGTCCTAGGGAAAAGCTCAAGATAACTTACCAATACAAACAGCAATGTAAAAAGCGACCGGCAACGGTAATGTCCGTACCTTTTAACCAGTCGATTCATAAAATTGTTTTTTACGACTCAGAAAAACTTCAAACCCGCACTTTAAACATGGTTTGTTTCCTTGCTACATTGGTGTCCCTTGGGCTTTGTTTTTCAACTTTAGACCAATATGAAGTATATAACTCTGGTTTTGATAGGCCATTTTCCTAAACTTAACACTGAGATGCTGGAGCTGGAGCTGGAGCTACAATCTCAAGAAGGTGGAGCCCAGGCATCCACTGGATCAATTGGCCTACTGATTCTCAAGACCACCACTTCCAGAATGCCATCAGGACGGAAGGTTGGAGAAAACAATCGTGGATCAACTGGTCCAGGCAGAGTAAAGGAAATGGTGAATGGTCCTGGAGAGCAGAACATCTCGTTTCTCATCTCACATTTTTTCGATAATCCCCGCAGCACTTCGGTGCCTTGTGGTATTATACCCTGTATAAGAACCTTTCCATCGCGTTGGATCTCACATTTCAACTTACCTGGTGAAACCAACATTACAAACTCAGTCATCTACTCATCTTCATTTATAACTTTTTGTTCAACAGGATAGCAAGGGTCACACCAGATGGCAATTGCAATTGCCTTTTTTTAGACCAGTAATGTCATTCCTAGTTAGAGGAAAAGTAAAAAACATCCATATTGGTGCATTGTATTTTTACTGACAAGGGCACAACACAGTCTAGACACTGAACCCTTCAGGCACAAGGCGCGAAAAAAGTGCTTGCCTGAGTGAAGTAAACCACAATACGTATGTGTGTGATTTTCTGTGTTAACTGTCTATAATAATAATAATAAGCTTATATAAATTAACTCTAAAGAAAGAATTATTTCATCCGCAAATCATGCAAACCTTTGTTGTTCAATATGAATTATTTCCTTACGGAGAGTTTGATACTATCCCTTTCTTATGGGCCTTTTTTCAACGCCCGCCACCATGTGAAAAAGCATGCCTAGGAGCACTACAAGTGTGTCCTATCAAATGGGCCTTGCCCGAAAGGATCTAAGGTATTTTTGTTGTCTAAAGCTCAAGCGCTTGCTTGCCTAGGCGAATGCCTTGACAACATTAATTTTACATGCTATTAAATTATTAATAACATAGTTAAAGATAGAAACTTACTTTGATCGATCCTGATACTTGGCAACGCAACTCGGAAAAGGAAGGCATTTTGACTAGCACCAATGTCAAGAATACCAATGGATGGTCCATTAGATTCCTTTGCAGCTCCAGTTAAAACAACAGATGGCTTCACCTTTGACTCTGCAAAATCTTCACCGCCCATGACTTCCCTTTACACACGTCAGCCACAAAACCGTCTACTGGTATCACCGAAACAAAACACATGTACAGTTAAGAAAATACATCCAAATGAAGTAACTGAATTATATGTATGTGCTTGTCAACCAACATCATACTCTAGTTCTATAGCCTATGAAATGCTTTAAATATAGTTAGATCAACAAACTACATGGTGTAGAACATAAAAGAAAGGCCTGGAAGAACCGACAAGCCAACCTACCTGCCCCCCTTTGATCAGTGTAACCCATGGTCAATAAATGAGTAACAGCAAAAGTTGAACATTTTTACTCACTGAGTCACTGCATGATATGAAAATGCAAAGTTTCAAATCATTTTTATGAGCTTTCAATGTGAACAGAATTCGAATTTCTGCTGTCAATTCGATCCATTTGAAATCTTTTTTTTTGTTGGGGCGGGGGGGGGGGGGGGGGAATAATCCATTTCATCTCATCAGATCTGCAAAACTCTCTAGTAGAATAATATGGCAAGCTTAATGTGAACCATGGAAAAGATATTTCTATGCAAGTAGTTTAGGGTGCCGTCCGCCGCAAAGATCTAGCGGTGCGAACAACAATAGTAGCGGCTTGCGGCCGTAAATAACAGTGTAACGGAAAATAGCAATTTGATCGAAAAACAGAATAAAATGTAGCAGAAAGATGCAGAGTCAAAGAGCAGATAACTCAAAATCTCGTATGAATCAATTAGAAATCTTCAAGTTAATTTTAGGGTTTCAAAAATACCTTATTTAATCTTCTTGGTCCGTCGGAAACTCGAAGGAAATAGTGATTGGTAAGAGGCTTCTCCGGCTACGGGGATGATTGAAAAGAAATGAGAAAAGGTCGGGAATTTTAAAGGATGTTTTCCAAAGAAATGTAAATTCTGAATCCCATCCCTTAACTTTATCAAAATTGATAAATTAATCCCTATTTAATTTGTTAAAAATCAGGTCCCATATTCAATGAAAATTGAAAATAGTTCGGTTATTAGTAAACCCGTAAATATGAATTTTTTATTTTTTATTTTTTATTAATTTATTACATATAGATAACTGGATTGTTATTTTTGCTAATTTCTTGTATTTAAATTTTAAGATTGATTAATTTTTCTCATAAATTATGATGATTAAGTTATTAGAAATTAAAGTATAATAATTACTTCCATAATTTTCATAAAATATAGAGATAAATACTTAACTAGACTTAGAAGAAATGTTTTTGATATATAATTTTATTGATACAAAATATTAATATTTTTTGTGTGTGAATTATGACATTATCACTTATACAGTTATCGGTCTAAACAGATACTAATATAGCAATTGATCCAAACATATAATCTTTATTAGAGGAACAAGATCAATTTAGTTCCTCTACTTTCGCATAAAGCACCAGAAATAAAATACTCAATGATCCATTCTAATTTTTATTAGAGGTGTAAATGGACCGAGTTTGAACGAATAATGTTATGTAGGTGTTCGTTTGTTTATTTTTTAAAGTGTTCGTGTTTGGTTCGTGGTCGTTTAAATTTTTAATAGCGTGTACGTTTATCTATTTTTGAAAGTGTTCGTGTTCATTTATCTATTTGTTTATAAGTTCATGAATGTGTTCATGAGCATGTTGGTTTAGTGTTTGTTTATGCTCATTTGTATATTCAATTTTTAGTTTCATTTGCAAGTTTAAGAAAAGTGATAAAATTACACCACTAGTTCTTAAACTCTTTAAAATTCATAGTTTAAAATTCATTTTTTTATCATGTGTTCAATTTAATCCATATCTTCACCGATATTTAAAATGTAAAAATAAAATAAAAGGAAAAGGGGAATCGGGTAAACGAGGTTGTTCATGAACATTCGTTTGTTAAATGAACATATTTTTTTTTGTTCAAGTTCGTTTATCTAACTTAACAAACGAACATAAACAATCGTTATACGAATGATTCACGAATAGTTCACTGAACGTTCTATTCATTTACATCCCTAATTTTTATTAGTAAAATTGTTAGTGTATGATGATGATGATAGTTGACATGGTATGACACTTGTGTAATAAAATCTCATGTTTGGTAACAGGAACGAATTAAAGAAGATGGAGGGTAGCTGTTAAATTTTCATATAATTTAATTGATTTTGCATCTTTTATTGATAATTTATTTTTATCTTTTAAAATTTTATGAACTCGTCAATTTGGATATGTTCCAACGGCGAGTCCTCGTGAGGACATGGCAACAACCATCTCATACTTGCAGAATAGGCAAATTAAAAGTTTGGCCGGACCGACAATATATCCATGGGTGTTTCGTGCGACTGGAATCATTCTACGCTTCCCTACTGCTTGGTTCCCACCCATAGAACCATTGTCACTCCTCAGAGCTATCGGACCTTTCTTATTCCGATCAATGTTCGGAATACGACCAGCATTTTTCTTAGTTGTTGCAGCACACATGGCGAGTGGCGAAAAGAGTGGATCCTGTAAACGCAAGAAGGATTCTGACCAGACTTTTGCACTCTAAGGGTTACTGTTGAAGAGAGCCAAAAAAGGCAACATAGTGCAAGCATTGAGACACGCCTCGGAGAGGTGAGTAACATTAATCTCACATCGAAAAAAGAAAAGGGAGATCATGAAATTTAAAAACAGTGACAATACACATCCTATCAAACGTATCTTTTAGGAGAGTAGTGACCCGTGACAACTGCTTGTGATATTGTACTTTAAACTTTACTATGGTTGTGGTAGAGAGATCTTGAATGGTTGATTGGCTACAAATGGGAACATTAAGCTTTGTGAAATGACTTCACTTATTAGCAACAAAAACAAGAGCAACTCAAATTCACTATCTCAAATCTCAGACACAACACCTAAAGGCTAAAACACATGTTCCCTTTCTCTGTTTTTCTTTCTTACACCACCTTTAACCTTCACCTTACAAATGCATACACTAACAACACTCCTCAGCCGTTTCTAGCTTGTCTATCTAGCAGCAACCGAGTCACAATGCTTAATTCTACTTCAGATACACATTGCTTAAATTACAGAATGGTTCCTCCTACAACACATTAGCTGACCCACTACAGACTATCGATTTAAAAGCGCGATTTACTTCCATGGCAAGTTTGACATACCATGTGGGTTGTTATTATTGCAGCCTCCCATTCTCTGGTTAACTGGGCTACCCGGTCCACCCGAGGATTCGCTTAAAGTACCATGAGAAGGTGAGCTGGTAACCCCCGGAGCAAGCTTTGGTGGGGCAGATAGAGCCTCCATATGGTATGCTGGTTTTGTTTCTTTACGATTGCCCGTGACAAAGGTGCCCAAAACCACCTGCAATAAAAGCAACACATAACTCACTATCATTAACAATATAATCAATCACAAATATTTATCATTTTTAAGTAAGTTAAATTTACGGAAACTTTTACTTCTAGTCGAGTGTTGTTGATTCATCCCGTGCAATGCACGATTCTGGGGGGAAAATATGCAGTAATTGAAAATGAAAATTGAGACCAAAAAAATACCTGAACAGGGGATGCAGCTATTAGAAGGCCAGCTACACCACCACCTAAAACCCGACCATCCGGGCCAGACAATGACACGCTTAGCCCTCCAGTTCTGCTCCGCTGACCACTATTTTCTGACACAAGAAATGAACCAGAAAGTGACAGGATTTCAAATCTCCCCTGCACCATTAGTGGAAAAGGAACAGAATGCCATTAATATTAGATACTCAAGTTGTGATACTGATACAATTGATATTTAAACAGCATATGACCATCCATCTATAGGTTGATGCTAAACCTGACAATATTAGACACAATACAGAAAGATAACTAAAATGTGATACAACATAAGAATGTTTAGCTAACGAATCAAGTTTATATAAATATAAAATATCTTCAGTACGATTATGGCACTATAAAATCCATGAACATGACATAGATAGACAAATTACATGATCAAATTGATGCTCTAGAATCTAGATGCCAGTATTTACTATTTACCTCCCTCCCCCAGACACTAAAAGTTGCTAGAAAGAAAAGAAAAGCATTTTTGCTTTGATACTAATATTTTAGATCACAAACCTCATAAGTTACAGTTCCACCAGATGTTGCTGGTTGGCAAAGAGTAACATTTGATATGGCTCCATTTGCTGAGAGAATGCAGATAGCTCTGGGACCATGCTGAGAAAATGACATGATTTTTGATGATACATCCTAAAAACAGGTAGATACGTAAAATTTTAGTTTCAGATCAACATATTAACTACAAATACTATATCAACGGAGGAACTAATCCATTGTATTATGTAAAGAAGCACAGCAAATTTTAGAGTGATGGATGATAGGCTTCCAGTGAAGCAAAGGATCAAGAGGAGGAAAGGTATCTCCCTATACTTTAAGGAATGTCAGTTTAAAAAATCATCATCAAGATCATGTGTTTCATTCCCACTTAGCATAATTAAATATATTTTTTCATTTGACAAACAATAATACATCAAAACTAAATCACCAAAATAAATCTGGACTAAACCCCACCTTGGTGGGACTTGAACCTGGGACCTAAAAGTACCCACAGGCCACAGCTTCCTCCTTGCTGCTAAGTCTCACTGGCCATAATATTGTGTTAAGTTGATTATACATTGTGAAGTTGCAAAACTCGCAAGCATTATTAAATTTTACGTATGCTCAAGTATTTCTTTGTTGTTCCCATTGATTCTCGTTGTCAGAAAGAGGAATTTCGGAAATTTGAATCATTTCTCCAATTTGACCTTTTATTTTATCACATGAAAGATGCAAAGCATTAATGACATAACTCTTTTCTCCAGAGTAAATAAAGCTCTGACGAGCCATACAATAGCAAAGTAAATAATAGAAGTTTCATCAACTCATGACAAACATTTTTGCATCTTGCAACAAGATGAGCATGTCATCATTAATAAATGGAATAAAATTTCTGAATAGTTATCTCTAGCAAGTAAAATCAACAAGACAGTTTTACACATAAACCAGGGAAAGGCGGAATGGAAGTTAAAAGGGGTAAGAGAAAAAACCTCTCCCACTTTAACAGTGATAACATGGGGCGTAAAACCAACACTGTTTGATCCTGCAAAATGAAAAAAAAAATAACTCTTTTAGTGAAATACGTCACCTTAGTAACCAACCAAGAACTAAGATAGCTCAGGCTTCTTAGATTTTTTTCTCTTTTAGAAGGTAGACAGAACCACAGAATGAAAAAAAATAGTTTCATATTGAAAAAGTGATTGAAGGAGAAAAATGAAAAAAAAAATAACAGAAATCTTGTAATAACTAGAAAGCTGCAATCCTTCGGTATTATTCAGGAACGTGCGTGAACATAATATGTATATATAAGCATTCTTGGTAGATGTCACCTGCTAGATAGTAGCTATTAAAACACGAAAGCAAAGATATGGGGAGGAAAGGAAAAGGGCAACAAAAAAATGAAGCAAGGGCATACACTGGTTATGTGTTTGAAATCTAAAGTCCTATAGAATTGAGTTGAATCGAAATCTTGATCCCAACAAATGTAGGCATGATTCAACAGCGTCACAGATTCTTATGTGTAGTTATTTGGACTATCGGTATGGTTAAGTTTGATTATCCTTAATCTCTTTACTACTAGTAGTTTATGCAACTTAATGGTAAATACTAGTAAGTACTGTGATACTACTAATTAATATTACTATCATTACTCAGCACTGCAGCCAGCCTCCATCAGAAATCAGAACCCAAGACCAAAAATAAAAACATAAACAAAACCAAAACAATCATTCCTTTATCATTTGTCCACATTGCCCATTTGTTCTCCTCGCATGCCATCAACATCCCACGTGTGTGTGTCTGTATATATGCCTATATATTCCGCAAAAGAAAGAGAAGAAAAGAAAAAGTAGAAAATCACATCCTTTTCCTAGATGCTAATTCCCAAGCATGAAGCATTTCGAAGACCAAGCTATGAGGAAAAAAAATGTCGTGGCTACCAATCCAAAACAAAAGGTCATCCATTAAATTAAAAGATTGAGATGCTTTATTTTTTTTTACGTATCAACTATCAAGTGAGTACCCAGAGCGTTAAGTTTAGGCTTGTTGAGGGAACCAGGAGGTCTCCCCCTTGGTTTTTTTGCTGAAGTTGGAGAAGAGGCTGATCCTCCAGAAGGCGGTGGCTGAGGAGTTGATGAGGGGAATCCTCCTCCGCTACTGGATTGGGTTACGCTGGCAGAGGGAGGAGGCACAAAAGACGGCAGCAATGTACTCTCCGGCCCATACTTCCTGGGCCTCCCCCTCTTCTTCTTCAAAGGCTCGCTCCCCATGCTCATGCTCATGTTCAGAGCTTGCCCTTGCCCTTGAGTCACCGCCGGCCCACCGGTGGCCCCGTCCGCCCCACCGCCGCCGGAAGCATGCTGCGGCTGATATGTGGGTGAAGCGGAAGCGAGCGGCTTATACACAGCTGTCCCGTCAGCGCTAAAGGCTAAACGCATGTTCTGTATCACCGGCAGTGACGCCACCGGACTCGTCTGTTGCATGCTCAAGCTGTACGGCTCTCTAGTGGCCATCAGTCCCGTCTCAGATCCTGACATCCTCCTCCCCTGTACGCTTGGTGTTCTAAAAATTGAATTATATATGCCCTTTTAGTTCTTTCCTTTGCTCTTATCTAAGTAATTCATTAGATCACGAAGCACCAGCAGCAGAACCTAAAATTTTCAAATAGCAAATTATAATAATCCCAAATATGAAATGTTATGCTGATGCTGACTGCTAATAATAATTATTGTTGAAAATGAACTCACTCACTGTTTGAAGCACTGAACTCACTGATCGAACTCAAACTCGAGAAGTGGAGGCTTTTGAAAAAGCTTGTATGAATCAAAATGGATTTTGAGTTTTCAACTTGAGCGACGAACTTTCAGTTGATCGAGCTTTCAAAATTCACTGACGAAGCCATGAGCTAACAAGCTTAGCTTGCTCGTAAATCCCAGGGTGAAAAATCTCTGTACAAAAAGAAACAAAATCGCTTAACTCCAAATTAAAACCCTAAAAACTGCTGCAATCTCTTCAGTTTAAACCCCAAATCTACTGAATTCATGTTTCTCAAAATAGATGAAGATGCAATCTTTTAAAATAATGGCTCAAAAACCATGGAAATTCTGAACAATTTTACAGAATTTTCGAAAATTTACAGTATATAACAAAAATAATAATCTATTATCCCAAAATTACAGAATATATGAGGGGGGGAAACCCAAAAATGCAAATAACTTACCAATAAATAGAAAAAAATTAAGAGATGAAGAGTAGGATGATAAACAAAAACTTCAGATTCTGAAGGACAAAGGGCAAAAGCGCTGTAAACATCTATTTTCTAAAGAAATGTTGCGAAATCTGAATTTTTAGGCGTTTCAGTATATATTTTATTTCACTTTTTTTATAAATATTTTTCTCTGCTTATTTTTACTCGAGGGTTTTATTTTAAAAGTATACTTATTTAATTCAGTAAAATAAATTTTAAAATACTATAAACTAATAAATTTATATTTATTACAATCCAATCAAAAGTCTTCTTTTAGTTTTTACATAAATGATAAATCTGATATATTAATTATACATTAAATATTTAGATAATTATAAATTAGAAAAATAAACATGACTTAATTTTCGAATTTTAGTTTGAAATATATATATTTTAGTTTATATTTTAAATTATTATTTATTAATTTGTTTTTGAAATTATAATTTTTTATCTCCAATTAAATAGTCAATAATTTTTCAAATAAAATAAGATGACAATAATAATTTAAGGAGTAAACTTAGAAAAATATAATCTGAGACTATTTATATTTTTTTTTGTAATTAAAAATAGTTTTTTTGTAATTTAGTGAAAAATTAGGTTAGGCGATTGTAAATTTTGAAGGAAGTGTAGAAGCTTTTAATTGCATTTACTCCGGCACGCGCTCTTTCCCTTTTTATTCGACACTTGCTTTCCTATTGGTTGGTTTCTTTTAAATTACCACGTAATTTACGGCTTTAAATGATACCACCACCATCCTTAGTTGTAAAGCAATTGGGGGGAAATCCACTAAATTCATATTTTTAAAGTTCAAACTAATTACAATCATAATTAAAAAATATATAAATTAATTATTTAAAAAAAATATTATTAATGAGAATATATATGAATTACGTGAAGATGATAATGAGACCGATCGAAGTAAATCTTTGGTTAATCCAACATGATTTTATTACATTTATACCTTAATCTTGTCTGAAATTTTAACCCATAATTTGGCTGACTCTAATTGACACAACATAATTTTTAATTTTTCATATATTGTATCAAGATATAAAAATAATTGCTCGAAAATTAATTAATTTAATTTAATAATATAAAATAAAAAAAATAATTTAATATTATAATTTTAGTATGGTAAACACTAATATACGAGACAACGAATTCTCTTTAAATCTAATTCAAAACTCAGTTTTATAAAAAAAATAATTTTGTCTAGTCAGAACTCGTCGGATACGGATTCTTTTATCCTACCTAGAATTATATCATATTATATACGTCTTAAATCAAAATAAAACTCTAGAGTGATGAATTAAAGTAGAAAGATTAGTTTCTCCAATTTTTGACTAATTTAAAGATTAAATTCAATGAATGGATGAGATTCATAGTTAGAGCTTTATTTTGTTCAAACAATCTGAATTTATGGATTAGAGTTTTTTTTGGGATAAATATTTATGGATTAGAGTTGGTAAAGAGTAGTTGGTCTATAAATATAAAAGAAAAATGTAATAAATAAAAATAAAAGAAAATTGTAATAAATAAATAAACGTTGCTATTATTAGTCCAGCCACCGCCAGCTTTTCATCATACACACTTTTCTTCCACACTATCCTCTTTACCTCTTTATTGCGACTTTGCATTTTCCACCCTATTACTTTTTATATTTTATTTAAAAAATAAATTTAATGTTTATCCATTTTATTAATTAATTTATTATTCGTTTGTTTCATAATTTGTCTTATATTAATTACGTAAGATAATTTTTTAGATATATTTAAATAAAAATAATAATAAAGTTATCCCTAAAATGTGATTGATATATTTGATAAGTTTATTTTGATAAGTGTAATATAGTGAAACATATATTTTAAGAAAATTAAACCAAACGACGTCACCTTTTAAGGATAACTTGAAAATATGTTGTAAAGTTCGACTCGGTTAACTTTTTTTAAGGAAATCAAAATTTAATTATCAATTTATTTGAAAATTATTTTATTTTTAAAAAAGATTAAAATCAAAATTAACTTAAAAATAAATATCGTCAATTTGATAAAAGGTGACGAATGAATTCAGGACCCATGATGAAACTTGAAACATTGAGATTTCGAAATATAACCGATATTACTTTACAACATATTTTCAAGTTTTTAGATCAATTAAATAATATTTTAAGAAAAGTAAACAAATAATCTCCTGATTATATGGTATTATTTTATTAATTCTTTTTATTATTAAAAATTACAAAATAATTTTTGGACTATAGAGTGTTGTTTTATTGATTCACTCAACTATTAAAAGTTGCAAATGGTCACACGACTATTCGTTATATTTCAATCTCGTCATTTTTCGTTAAGAAATAACAGTAATATAAGCTAGACAATGACATGATGATTATGATATGATAATAATTTGAAATTTTATGATCAAATTTTATCATAACACAATCAGTACGTTAACATTCAATTCAAAATTTCATCAATTTTTCTAACCGAAAAAAGAGTTTTGAACACGATGAATATTCAGGTGACCATTTGTGACTTTTAATAGTCGAGAGACTTAACATGACAACACTGTATAATCAGAGAACTATTTTGTAACTTTTGATAGTCAACAAACTTGATAAAACCCTATAATTTGAGGACAATTTGTATACTTTATTATAATATTTTATACTTTAGAATATTTTTAAAATTATTTTAATTACTAAAGTTTCTTATTTGTTTTAACCCTTAAACTTCTTTTTGAATTAAATCAATTATCGAAAGATAATAATAAGCTGCATCGTCGCTCCTTCCCATTATTGTTGCACTTTTAGAGCGGGATTGGGTTGTGTAGTTCTCTCATGCGGTTTGTGGTTAGCTAAAAGTTATTTATGAATAATTTTCAAATATATATGAAAATTTAAAAATAAATATAGTTAGTGATGTTCATAAATTATCCAAAAAAAAGTACAACAAACAATATGATAATAAATTACAAATGTTTTATTAGCCCAATCGATATTTAGAAAGATGTGGACAATGCTTCTTGTTGTATCCTTTACCTCTGTAGTAGCCACAAAGCTTTGGTAGACCTTGCTCTCATTGAGGATCCTTCATATCAGTATGAATTCGACTAGATTTAGGTCGACCATTCAACTTCATTCATAATTGTGGATTTTACAACCATTCTTGAGAAATTGTTGGTGGCTTATACAGAAAAGTCTCATTCACTTGATTCATTTGTTTGCAAAAGAGAAACCCTTCAATTGTTTACTTGAAAGCCTAGAACAAGCCACCAAAAACTCTTTCCTGGGACTTCTCCAGTTTCTGTGCTTGTAGGATAAATATAAGACCGTACAATGGTTCCAGGTATGGAAAATTACATTGCATGCAACAAATGTGGTAGCTCATTATATGATTGATCTCAATCATCGTACAACAATGTTATTGCTTTTCTTTTTGCCATCCATGACATGTAGTAAGACGAAATATAACCAAATGTATTCTAGATTGATACAACTATCACTAAAACTATGACTATTAGATTTTTCTCAACCAAAAGCTTGACATATAAGCACACGACATCAGAATCTATGTGTTTGTGGTCTTGTGCCAATGAACTCAATGTATATGTGTTGTTGATCTCGAACCGATCAATTTAAAGTTTCCAAGAAGTTGTTGAATTGGCAAAAAAGATATTGTGATGGAAGCAACCAAAAATAAAAAAAATTAATGCAATGATTTATAGTGGTTCAACGTCCTCAATAAAGTCTACACCCACAACCTTAGATATCCACACTAAGGATTTTCCACAAATTCACTTATTTGTCTTTCTTTTGATGACAAAGAGTAAACTTACACAATTCACCAAGATTTATACCCCAAAATCTTATGAATCATTTCCCTCAAAGTTTATACCCCTAAACTTTGAGTTACACTTCCCCTTGGAGAAATACAAATTTAGCAAAACAAGGAAAAAACCTCACAAGGAAAATATATGTTTGTACAATTAAGCTCTCAAAAGATGAACACTAAAGATTTACAATGAAGCTCTCTAAAAAATACAAGAGAAAATAAAAGAATAAAGATTTGAAGCTATTTTCTCTTGATCTTTAGGTTTGCATATTCATCTCTTACTTCTTGAAGTGTCCTTAAAGTGTATTTATAAGAATAAATGAGATTGAAGTCATTTATAGCCGTTGGAGGATGTTTGAAGCAATTTGGAGGTGAATTTCCAAGAAATTTTAGGCCCCTGCACTAAGTGGTATTGATACTCAAGTATGGGAATCGATACTCCTCCTAAATATAGTCGTTACAAGCTCAAATGTGACCTTTTGGCATCCCGGTATCGATACTGTGAACAGTATTATCGATACTCATTATTCATAAATAATATCCGCTCATGAACAATGTCATTAACAGTGCCAAATAGTGACATAATAATGTTTTCATGTTTTAAAAGCTTTAAAACCATTTTTAAATACTTTAAAAACATTTTAATCAACTCAAAAATATTTGATAAAAATAAAATAATTAATAACACATTTGTTTAGGTTTTAAAAACTTTGAAACATATTTTTCAAGTTTGTTGGACTTTGAATTATTTTTGAAATATTTGAAAAAATTCAATTAAGTCCAAAATCATTTTGCATTTTTTTGTTATATCAAAATATATGTTCAACATGTATGTTGTTCGTGAAACCTTGTCACTTTCCAGAACATATTCTGTTGTAAGTATGAAACATGTATCCTCCACTTACAACTGACATTGTGGTTTATACACCTAACAAAATATGTCTTTTGACCAAACTCCACCACATAAAACTCTATATGGACTTTAATACAAAATTACTTGATTGCTAGTTAGGCATCATTCTTAGTTTCAAGCTGGACCCAACTGCCAACTCCATTGATCCGACGTTAGAGGTACCCCGGTAGATTGCACATATATTTGGCATATCAAGA